CCCTTGCTGAGTCTCTTGCCGGTTCTTCTCAGTACAAGGTCTCCCGCCGTAGAATTACGAACCGATGGCGTAGCGTCTGACTTTTACAAGAGCTTGTAACAGCTTAGACTGAATAAATGAGTTAGAGTTTGAGTTTATGCCTAAACAGTAAGACACGGCTTTCTTCAACTTTGTTAAATCAGTTTTTTTATATTTTTTTTATTTTATAGTCATAATTTTTATATCATTTCTATTTGTAATGGAAAGTGACTTCATGAGTTATCTCATATGGAAGTCATTTTCAATTTGACGAAAAAAACAGCACTTGCTGAGTTTCTTGTCGGTTTTTCTCAGTACAAGATCTCCCGCCGTTTATTTGCGAACCGATGGTTATGGATAGCTTTTACTGAATTGACTGAACTGAGACTGAATAAATAATTTTGAGTTTGAATTTCACTGGCGCTTTTAAGAGGCACACCAGTGAACATACCTAACAGCGAGCATCTTGCAATTCTCACGGGCGCGATATCGTAAAACCCATTAAAGAAAGAAAATATTTTATTGGTTACATACATGCATACATTGAAAACAAAAGAGAATAGAAAAACAAAACGGCTAAGAAAAAAACTAAAAACAAGAAACTAAAGAAAATATAACTAGAAAAAATTCCACGCGGACCAGGCAGCAGACGGGACTCGAACTCGCACCCTTCGCGATCCGGGCGAATGCACTGACCAATTATGCTACCGCGGCCCTCACGGACCGCGTCGAAATTCTTCTAGCCATTATTAAGCTGCAGGGCAGCGCCATCTCTTCGGCTGCGGGTTCGAGTGCCGTCTGCTGCCTGGTCCGCGTGGAATTTTCTTTAGATTTAAACATCAAGCAGTTACATGCTTTAAAATAATAAAAATTATGACAAGAAAACTAATTCAAGGTGCTGCTGTGCAGGGCCGACAGGTCGCTGTCTCAGCTATGCTTCTGTGGGTACTGTACCCTTAGCACGAACCAATATCGAATTCGTAACGTTTGCGAGTCCGAAATGTCATTGTCAAATGTGTAAGTACATAGTGATTTTTAGTTGTTGTTACTTCCGTTATGGCGCTGCTGTTCAAGTTTCCATACAAAATTTGACATTGACATTTCGGACTCGCAAACCTTACGAATTCGATATTGGTTCGTGCTAGGGGTACTGACGGCAAGTTCCATCACATTCTTAAAAATTAAATAAACATACATTTAGTAATTAAAATGGGTCAAATAAACAATTATCGATCAAAATAAAAAAGAAAATCTAGTCTTTTAAAATTAAGCCAAAGATGCTTAGTCAGGTATGAAATCTTTAACAGTATAGTAACTCTTCTTGAAGAGGGAATTTTTGATTTAGATTTTAAACTTCTTATAAGGTAGATCAATTATTTCTTCTAGCATTTTATTATAGTAACATATACATTGACCCACAAATGAACCAAGAACCTTATGGGGTCTAAATAGTGGCAATTTAACAATATTTTCATGTCTAGTATTGAAATTGTGTACGTCATCGTGCCTTGTATATAAATTAATGTAATGTTCTGACGTGCATACAATATACAATTGTAAATCTATATAAGCGATAAATAGCTGTTATGGCTCTTTTTTGAAGAATAAAAAGTGTCTGCAGGTAGATGTTCTAAAGCCTGCGTTAACAAAACAAAGTTAGATACAAAGTTAAATGTAACTATAGAAAAAATAACTATTTGTACAAATTTTTCATAGAAATCAGAAATCAATATATCTTTCTAATTCTTTTGAATCATCCAAATTTTTTTCCCTACCACTCGTTATTGGACATATTTTTTGGCTGCGGAGAAAAACGAGCGAAAAAAACTCCACAACATTAAAAGTATAATGTAGCAACATTTACAAATCATTATGTTGTTTTAACGTCAATACAATCATGATTTATATAATATAGAAAACCTGTTGGAATGATTGGAACAGTTCAAACCCAAGCATTTTTGTCTGTAATATAATCAGACACTTTGTAATAAGCTTTTTTAATAAGTGCTTTTTTATCTATCTTTGTATTAATTTATGGTTAACTCTTGGATATTGCTTGGGACTTTAATGTATAAGCGAACACAGAGACCTTTAAATGAATTATTGATTATGTGAAGCCCAATAGCAGGTAAAGTTAGTTTATTTTTGGTTCTTGTATTAAGTGTGTCAATATCACTGTTTTTAAGAAACGAATTAAATTTTTTCTTACAACTAATAAGTTTTCGTATACGTAGGTATTGTGATGCGACCGTCATTATGCCAAATTCTTTAAACTTATCTCTTAAGGATTCCTTGACTTTAAGATTATAAATTGATCGAATAGCTCTCTTCTGCAGTACAAAAATAGTTTGAATGTCGGCGGTGTTTTCCTACAATAAAATTCCGTACGACATTACACTATGGAAATAACTAAAGTACACTAATCTGGCCGTATCTACATCCGTTAACTGGCGTATCTTTATTACGGCATATGCTGCAGAGCTAAGTCTATTTGATAATTTATCAATATGTGGGCCCCATTGAAGCTTAGAATCTAAAGTAATCCATAAGAATACTGTGGTGTCTACAAGGCCCACATTCCTATCCTTTATATTCACACTGGTTTTTACCTGTTTTACATTGGGTAATACAAAATTCATACATTTCGTTTTTCCTTCATTTTATTAACATTAAACCAGTGGACTACCTTAGAGATACAACTGTTCACGTCGTCAATAACTGTTTCCTTGTGTTTGAGTTTAAATAAAAGTGATGTATCATCCGCGAACAATACTAGGTATCTCATGGTTATCTCTTACATAGTAAGGTAAGTCATCCATCTACTTTGTATTTGACGTGACATTGACCAACAGTCAAATTTAAATTAAATTTGACTGTTGGTCAATGGGCCCTGTAAATGTGACTATAATATAAAATACTATGTAAATTATAGATACTATGAAAAGTAACCATTTGTAAAATTTTGACACATTTTACTATGAATATGATTTGAAATTGACTTATAGTAAAATTTAACTATGTATCAAACAATGAGGTCCAGTACAGCCGTAAGTAAATAACGTTCCAGCGGGGAAAGTCCCCAATTTTAAACCGTGTAGCGCCATCTAGCGTCAAGTAGCAAAGATATAAATTAGCACCACACCATCTAGCGATCAGTAGCTAAACTAAAAGAAACTAAAAACGAAGGAATTACACAATATATTCGATAGAAAATATTTAATTTCCCAGTAAAATAAAATAATATAAGGGTACTTGTTTTATTTATTTATTTTGAAAAGTCATTTATTCAGTCTAGACTGTTACAAGCACTTGTGAAGGTCAAGAAGCTACGCCATCGGTTCGCAAAACTACGGCGGGAGACCTTGTACTGAGAAGAACCGGCAAGAAACTCAGCAAGGGCTGCTTTTTTCTCCCTGTATTGATATATACAGTCGTCAAGTTGAAAAATGACTTCAGAGATACTTCTGAAGTCACCTTCCATTACATCATTTGGGATAGAGATATATAGTTACAATAAATTTTATATTTAGTATATAGGAAGCGGCATTAGATAGGTACCATATTACTGTTACAAAAACTGAATAATACCCATCAAATAACAAATTACAAGAATACTTTTATTAAAATAGGTAGGTAAGGTACCTACTTTATTATAGATAATAAATAATTCATGGGGTCCAAGCGCTCGTTCCTTCTTTAAGGAATTGTCTGAGAGACTCACCGAGGTAGCTGGTGATCAAAAGGCTTGCAGCTACGTTTTGCTATTCAACGTGGCAATGCCTGTTCCTGACGGCGGCGCTGGAAGTGATATTTATTTTATTTTGTAAATTGTATATTATTTAAGTTCTAAGTTGTTTCTGATTTTAAGTTTTTAAACATTAAGTAGTTTGAAGCTTTTGTAAATTATATAATCAAAGCATGTTTTAAAATTAATTTAGATCGAATCATCATTTTTGTGCATTTACTTTTTAATTTTAGTACATACTATATCATATTATTAGTTAAATTAATGTGCATTATGAGAGTCCGACACGAAAGTGTACTTTATCACAAAGTTCCTATGATCACTTTTCAGCACTTAATCACTAATAAAATCCCCGGTATATAATCCACTATCATTAGATTCTATCTTCTTCGATAGAGTCCTTGACAAGAAGAATTAAATGCGCTTAAATCCAATTGGATTTCGTCGTTATATAATTAAAAAAATACTCATATTCAATAGTTATTCTTTAACCTTACTCTAGGTTGAAACCTACATTCATGATAAATAAAATGCTATGCACAGCACCGACTCCAAAAATATAAATTTTACTTAAGACCTCAGTTAATTAATAAATATTTTAAAGAAACTGTTTATCAAATTTTCAATTATTTTTAAGTATTGAATTAGATTCCTTATTAATACGTTTCTTTTCTATTCGCGTTCTCTTAAGTTTAGTGTTGCCAGGTGTCCTGTTTTGCGCGGGACGTCCCGATTTTCAGGGGTCTGGGGACGCGTCCCGATTTGAACCTGATCGAGACGCTAAATGTCCCGATTAATCAAAAAATGAAATTTGATAATTAATATAATACCTACTATACTTGCACTACTAGTTTATAACTCAATAAATTAAACGCAGACTTAAAAACCCCCTGTTTTTTGTTTACTGTCCCGACCTGCAACCCTATATCCCGATTTTTTGACCTTATGTACCGATTTAAAACAAATCGGACCTGGCAACACTACTAACGATGTACATTTCTAATGAAACTGCTTATGTTATTAAATAATTTTATTGTTTAAGTAGTCTCTGCTTCCCGACCCGTTAACGATAGGTACGTAGGCGACATCGTCCCCATACAGGCCATTTGCTAAAGAAGGCCCGCGTATTTCTAGTTAAAAAGTCTCTAGATTTAATGAAACTGCTCATTTTGTTTAATCATTTTATTATATTTTTTATTATTTTTAAAGCATGTAATGATGCTTGATGTTTAAATCTAAAGAAAATATAACTAGAAAAAATTCCACGCGGTCCAGGCAGCAGACGTGACTCGAACCCGATCGAAGAGATGGCGCTGCCTTGCAGCTTAAGAATGGCTAGAAGAATTGTGACGCGGTCCGCGAGGGCCGCGGTAGCATAATTGGTCAGTGCATTCGTCCGGATTGCGAAGGGTGCGGGTTCGAGTCCCGTCTGCTGCCTGGTCCGCGTGGATTTTTTTCTAGTTATATTTTCTTTAATCATTTTATTGTCTGAGTAGTTTTTGCTTCTCGACCAAATGGCTGGCGTCCGTGAACTGCACGCCTCCATCGACGACCAGTAGGGCGCCGGTGACGATGGCGCTGTGGTCGCTGGCCAGGTGAACGATGGCGTATGCCACGTCGTCCGCGGTGCAGGCGCGCTTCAGAGGTATACCCGTAGACACGGCCGTCAACCACGCCTGGTACTGTTCGTCCGATGCCCCGGTCACACGCTGCACGAATTTGCTAACCTGAGCAACAATTAAGGGAATACTGTTTGGGCATAGATGTGGAGTCTTCTTCAATAAAAACTCTGTGTTTTTAGTAATTTCTCTTTATGTAATAATATAATAATGGATACAATTTACAAGTAACAGTTTTCTTGGGAGAATGAATTTTGCAAGACATGACATAATAGCCGGTTAAACAGCCGAACACACGAACACGAGCGACATCTGATGACGTTTGTGCTAGGCGCGCTACAGTGGTACGATCCAATAGATGGCGCCACCCGTTATATAAGCGCGATTCTTTGCTATGATTTGTAATATTCCTTTTCTTTTATATGTATATATATGTGGGGTTTATACGGGCGCGAACAAATACAAATAAGGATAATAAAAAAATCTTCATCGTCCCCTTCTGAAGTTTTAACTCCTTCCAATATATATTGTAGTGACTACGAGCAACTACGGAATCCTACACTCTGCGCGTGGCGCGACTATAGAGGTATAAGAATAGAGTGGGGAAGGCGGCTCTAAGGGTGCGGCCAGAGTGCACTCAGATTCAGATTCAGATTCCGAAAACAAGCGCGAGAAATAAACAGTGTAGTCGAAGGGTACGGCCAGAGTGCACTCCTGATTCAGATTCAGATTCAGACTCAGAAAACAAAGCGCGAGAAAAAGCAGGCAACCTGCTTAGACTACACTGTTTATTTCTCGCGCTTGTTTTCAGAATCTGAATCTGAGTGCACTCTGGCCGCACCCTAAAAGTGTCCGTCTAGTAGAAAGAGAAAGAAGATGAGAGACGGCTGTGTACTCACCGATCTGAAATTCTATTTATTCGATTATTAAGTACCTAATTTTAAGAAACAAATCAAAATATTTATTCGGCTAAACAGCCTATCCAACTGATATTATAAATGTGATAGTTTGTACGTCTGCTACCCAATCACGCAGATTATTGGACGGATTTAGATGAAAGGAGATTGCTCAAATTGGCCCAAATGCACAAAAAATATTGACCTACAAAGTAATTCTTGGCGTAATTTATAATTTAATTTACAGTCATTAGATTTCAACGGACACCTTTGTATAATATATTTGGGTACTTTAAAAAGGACTTTTAATTTTACCGGTTTGGAAAACATACGAATAATTTTTAATGGCTATGGGTGTAGAAACATTCAGCCAAAGACTGGTCGAAGTTGTTTATCTATACTTATAATAAATCTGTAGAGATGTCAATTCTGTACATGAAATATATTTTTAAAATAACTATCAGGGGGTGATTAGTGATCGATACTGATGCCAAAAATGCAATCAGTAAAATTTTTGTCTGTCTTTCTGTCTGTCTGTCTGTGTGTATGTTCCTTATAGAAACAAAAACTACTCAACGGATTTTAACGAAACTTGGTACAATTATTCTTCATACTCCTGGGCAGGTTATAGTATACTTTTCATCACGCTACAATCAATAGCAGCAGAGTAGTGAAGGGAAATGTTGGGAAAACGGGAGAAGTTACTCCATTTTTTAAGCTTCCGTCGCGGGTGTAGCCTTAATGGTTAAAGTTACATAGAAATCATGTATGACGGAAATATTCTACATAAAATTGTCTAAAAATATCCCGGAACAGTATATGTCTATCTTTTATGGTTGACTCACAATAACACGTGTAATTATATAAATAAAGTCATTCTTTATAGCACAAGCCTGAGAACAAAAACTATAGTTTACACTACAGCTCTACACCGAAGCGAAGCGAGGGCGGGCCACTAGTATAACATAAAAACAAATCTATTTTGTAAAGATCGATAAAATAAATCTTTTTTTTTTTTATTACACTGTGGTATTAATATCAACAACTATGTTATCATTTTCATTACATGCAAATGTGCTCAGACAATTATTATAGATGGTAGGCGACATCATAAAGTCTATTGCTATACATTTTTCGCCAAAAACCTCCATATACACATTATAATCTGTAAATATGTTAGACTTTAAGGTATCTATCTATGGGCCTACGTTCCCTGACTATAAATTAATAAATAAATAAAGTTATAAGGTGTTGTGATACACTAAAAATCTAAAATATGGTTATCTTAAAAACATTACAAAAATAATGAAGCTACTGAATATATGGCTATAGAACCTAAATCTCTTAGCTTTCTTTGGTTAACGAGCGTTTAAAAATTCTCTCTAATCTGTGGCTCATTCACAATCATCACACAGTTTCTGTCACAGAGTACCTTATTATAACCAGAAATGACACCTGATTTTAAAAGTTACTCTTAAGCATTAACTTTAAAAACAGGCAACTATCTGTTAATCTACATACCTGAATCTAATCCATAATTTCGGTACTTGGCTTGATTTCCCTAGTTTACTATATAACTTATTTGTTTTTATTATTTTAATATGTTCAGTATATATGGTTTATAGAAGTTCTCAAGGGTGTCATTCAATAATATTCGTTTCTACAGTAATTTATATATGATTTCGAATCTAGGAAACAATTTTTCATGATTATAGACCTTTTGTGACTTTTGTTTTTCCCTGTATCCGCCACTTTTGATAAAGTTCTTTTCATACATGTTAAGTAGTCAAATACTTACAGTGATCCCTGGACTGACAGTGTTGACCCTCACGCCTTTGGGAGCCAACTCCACTGCTATTATCCGCGAGAAGTGGTCCAGAGCTGCCTGTGAATAAGATTGTGCATATATTGTTTACTCAGAGTTCTAGACATCTTTATTTTAACAAAATACATGTTCAGCTACAGGGGCGTATATACCCTAGGGCCAAAAGGACCATGGCCCAAGAGGTTAGGCTGCGAGCCAAATGCGTATGGTGGGGGGATTAAATATAAAATATAACCTTTTATATTTAATGAGTCATTGTAGAAGTACGAGATTGGCTAGGACAAACTTCCACTCTCAGCCCGAGCTCGTTAAGAATACCAGAAAGGCAGGGGTATGAATGGATCATAAAAAAACCACCTAACCTAACCTATCCAAACCACATTAAATAAAGTATTTTCGAAAGAGAAAAGGGAACAGGCCCATCTTTCCCAGTGGGCACTTTGGGCAGGTGCCCAGGGCCCCGTGATCGATAGGTGGGCACCTCAGATCACAAATACAAGTCCCTAGTTCTTGTTAGATCACCAAACGGGGGTCATAGGGGTCTCATTATCCTAATATGCCCAGGGCCTCCAATAGGTCAAAGACGGCACTGAAAGGGAGTGTAAATGACATCCATTTGTGCAGATTAATAAATTCGGAACTGGACTGTACATGCTTTGCTTACTTATGAATCTATATTATCACTCAAAGTAAATTGCTTCATTGGCTGAGCGTTGCATAAAAAAGATTACTTCTACCGCCAGAGCCGGACCGTGAGTTATGGGGGCCCTGGGATAATACTATTTAGGGGGCCATCTAATTACTCAAAGTATAGAAAAAAATGAGACAGTAAAATATTAAAATATTATATTATACTAGCAAACCAGTGAACCAAATGTTCACCAAAACAAAAAAAAATGTATTTAATTAATTGAGAACTTCGGAGATTTTGTGTGGTTTCGTTTGAAATTCGTGATTTCTCGAAAACCGGAAGTGCTACGTTACTCAAATCCGGTTTGTAGTCTTATCAGACTATTCTTAACTTATAACTTAAATATTCTCTTTATCTATCTCTTACGGTTTGGCCGCTGAAACAGCACCACAGACAGACGGACGGACGGACTTGTCTAATAGATAAGAGATTATGCCTTAGTAACAAATTACAAAGCAACCTTTCTGCAAAGTGCAGAAATAGCAAATTCTTTAATTTGCTCCTCACATTCTAGGGGTAATATAAATGGGGTTGCATGCAACAATGTATTTTTTCTACATTGAGTACTTATACTTCTAATCATTGAATCTACTGCTTTAAAGAAAATAATTTTAATTTTCTTTCTTTGGTGAATCACTAGTTCAGCTTTAGACATCTATTTTGAAATATTATATCTGCTATTTCTTATTTAAATTCAGCGATATTTGCCTGTCTAAATTTCCGATCTGTTTACTTTAATAAAAGTATGGATTCATATCGGAGCATACATATTTAGATTTTTGAAAATACACCAGTTTTTAGGTGAACGAAGAGGTTGAAGGACCACGCTTGCGCTAAGCCAATGTGGATTTCACTCACTTTAGTGATGCTATAGGCCAAGTTGCCGGGGTACGCGTTAGTAGCAGCCACACTGGACACATTGATGATATTGCCTTTAGTCTTCACCAGTTCGGGTACCAGGAGGCGCGTGAGGTTGTACACCGCACGCAGGTTGGTACGGACCATGCGGTCGAACACCTCCATTTCAGCGCCCTGGATGAAGGAACGCGAGCCTTCTGCTGCATTGTTCACTAATACGTCCAACCTGTTGGGGTCAATGCATAAAGGAGATTTCTCAAATTGGCCTAAATGCACAAAAAATATTGACATACACGGTAATTCTTGGCGTAATTTATAATTTAATTTACAGTCATTAGATATCAACGGACACCTTTGTATAATATATTTACTTTAAAAAGTATTTTTAATTTTACCGGTTTGGAAAACATACGAATCATTTTTAATGGCTATGGGTGTAGTAACATTCAGCCAAAGACTGATCGAAGTTATTTATATAACATAAAAACAAATCTATTTTGTAAAGATCGATAAAATATATTTTTTAATAAACCTGTATGGAAGCTGAGCAATCTCCTTTATATCTTATTCTATATTATTCTTTCCTACTACGGGCCTACTATGGGAAGAAAGGTCAATGTTAAAATTGGCCTAAGAACCAACACCAATTTGGCTTTTATGATAATTCTTAGTATATTTTTTGCGATAATTATCAGTATTTAGATTGTGACGGACACTTCCAGTTAAGTAAGCTAAATTAAAAAGTTAATAAATAATCTGAGACAATAAATACCATTTTATGTGTATAATCTATGATAGCGCTGCAAACAAAACACTCTTTCTTCCTAATACCGGCACTTCACCTGGTTATTCATATTAGCTATTTAAAAACATGACATCAGTCTGTCCTTTTCATTCCTTATTAAACATGACAAGGACAAACTGTTGTCAAGTGAAGTGCCGGCATAAACTCGATACTCTGTGGTTGTGGTACAGGCAGTTTGCATTCGTAGTAATCTGTGGCATTCGTGCATTCTCGTCAATGAGTACTTTTTATATACGGAAAATTCTCGTTTCGTATTACCTGTTGTGTGTGTTTATTTGCGATGTTTTTTCCTTTAATTTAACTATTACTATTTCGGCTATCTAATATGCCTTCGATATTACCAAAGAGTGGAGACCTTATTAGCAAGTGCTAGTGAACCTGTGCCACAACATCCTGAGAGGATCATGCTGCAAAATTATTCAAGAGCACCTGATACACATTCACGCTGCATATTTACACAATATACATGTGTTAAACAAATACATACAATATATATACAATATGATACAAGTATAGTGAAAAGTAGTCAATAAATAATAAGAAGCAAGACTACAGTTTTTATTTTATTCATGATTCCTACCTAACCAAGTTTTTCCTAATATTTATTCTTCAAAATAGCACCGAATAAAATGAATTAGTTGTAATATTAATTCACTTCATACTAAGTTCATAGGTTGACCTATGTTTTATTGAATATTAAACATACTTAACCTCAAAAAAAATTTAGTTTTCCTAATAATTTAAGTTCTCAGAAGTGTCCGTCAATAATCTTTGTTTTTACAGTTATTTACTTGCGATTTCGAACCTAGAAAATAATATTTCATGATTGTTGGTTCTTAGGCTAACTATGTATGGACGCAGAACAATGTCCTTTCAGATTGAAATAAGTTGTGCCCTTGTACATGTTATCTTTAATTAAGTTGCTCTTGTATTATTTTTTGTGTGTACAGAATATATAAATAAATAAAAGAACATAAAATCATAAATGGTCCGACTCAGTTTTAAGGGCCATTCCTTCCCCTTCCATCTCTTCAGGGCACAACACTACCGCTGCAGAGCAACATTTCCATGCTCGGTATGGAGGTTCGCTCAGACCTGAATCCAAAGGACTACATCGAAACCGTGATCAAAACAGCTTCACGCAAACTCGGAGTCCTGAACAAGGTGCGGCGTTTTTTCACGCCCGATCAACTGTGCTTGTTGTACAAAACGCAAGTGCGGTCCTGCGTGGAATATTGCTCGCACCTCTGGGATGGCTCCGCCAAGTACTTGCTCGATGCTTTGGATAGGTTACAGCGGCGCGCGATCCGCATCATAGGCGATGAGGAGGTGACTAAACACCTTGAGCCTCTTCAATTACGCCGTGACGTGGCGTCACTAAGCGCGTTCTATCGTTTGTACCACGGCGAGTGTTCTGAGGAGTTATTCTCTCTTATCCCACCTTCCCCTTTCCTTCAGAGGACCACGCGCGCTGGCCTACGTTGTCACCGTCTTACTGTGGCCAAAATTCCAACGCGTACAAAGAAATTTGGTGACTCATTTCTTTGTCGCACTATCCGTAAATGGAATGCTCTGCCCGCTCACGTGTTCCCTCCCTCTTACAACCTGGGATCCTTTAAAAGAGGCGTGAAGAAGCAACATGCAGGCCGGCAGGGTGAGGATGGCTGGTGTGGCAGGTAGAACTGCTGTATCAGCTATCTTCGCGTCTGGACTTCACCTTCACTTAACATCAGGTGGGGTGGAGTCATTTGTCGGACCTAACTATAAAAAAAAAAAAAAAAAAAGGCCTTAACTTCTTCGCTGCCCTGGGCACCTCCATGGGCAAATTCATTTTGTCGTCCAATTTGGATGCTTTATGAAACTCTTTTGAATACTTCGATATTTAGATACCTTTAAAACCTATTAAGACATTTTTTTCAGCTCTTGAGAAAAATGAGCGGAATCGCCTCCAGAATATTCAATGATTAGTAACGATTGCATATAGGGTTATAGGGTTGCTACCTTTTTTTGTCTAAATAAAGTACATTGGATGTTGAAAGTAGAAAATAAAGTACATTGTATCGAAAATAAAGTTCTTTTTATTCGACTTTATTAGTAAGCTTAAATATATATTGTTCATTGCTTCTAGCACAAAAAATCTGTAGTTTTTTCCGCAATGGGAAAGGTCATGGTACTAAGCCATACATACAGCTAAGAGCGACATATTATTTATACATACTGTCTGTCGGTTTTACGCAAAAATGTTTGCTTTTTGTATATTATCTTCAAAATTAATCCCCGAGTAATCAAACCACATTAAATAAAGTATTTTCGCGTTTTTGAAGTTATACTTCTTTAGCCGCGTTATGAAAAAATTATGAGAGTGAAATTTTAAGATGCGCGCGCATCACTGTAACACAAAAGTAACATAATGAAGTTAGCCGCGGGCGCGTTATGAAAAAATGATGAGAGTGAAATTTTAAGATGCGCGCGCTGTAACAGAAAAGTAACACCATGAAGTCGGCCGCTAAACCGCACATTACTCGTAAGTCTCGAAAAAAAGCTTCCAACAAAATAGTAATAGGATCTCTTAGTCGCACATGTTGGGACGCTCGTCGCCTCTGATCACTGTTTTCATATTTATAATATTTATCCGAATGTTTCTAGTTTCTATATTCTTAACACGTGTTATAATGTTATACAAATGCGAAATTTATATGTGCTAATAAATTTTATTCAGTAGTGATTTAAATTGAATATTTTGATTATTTATTAAAATTTTCAAATTAGAACTGAACTTTATTGACTGCGTTGACTATCCTTTTCCAATCCTTTTATTATCTTATTGTAATTAATTATCTGCATGCAATTAAAAACTATTTTTTAATAATTCCAAAAAGAAGTATAACTTCTCACGCGCGTACTTAAGAGCCCTTTTACAAAATTGCGCCGCTCTAGTTTAGGTAAATATGACCGCGAGCGTGTCCGAGTCGCACGAGCGAGACATCGAAGCGGCGAAGTTCAGTATAACGCGCTTTACCAAATTGATACTTTAATATACAATTATTGATTATACAATAAATGCAAATATAAAATAAAGTTAATTTGAAGTGCTAAGATGGATCCCTACTGTAGCAACGAACGATTCTAGATAGGAATCCTGACTGGAGCAAAGGATACAAGGATTAAGTTTTTTTACTATTGTGAGAAAATAAATAATATATTTATAGTACCCATTGGTTGCGTTTTGGAAATGACAATAAAGATTAATTATGATTATTACTAATTATTGTAACTTTATATGTTTGATTTGCATAACTTCTGTTTGTTTTTTTTTTATTCACTCAGTAATTAAATGAAAAGTTTGTTCAATGTTATCGCTGAATGAAATCCCTTTTTCGAGTGGCAATGAGAAATAATATTTTATTTACTTGTATTTTTAGTATTGACTTTTTTAATGATGATTGATGTTTGGTAATAATCAAATATCTCTGTAAAACTGTACTAAGTGTAGTTCTGTCTTTGCCTTCGTAGTTCATTTAATAAAAAAGTTTTCGCACTCTGTATTTTCAATATATCTGTAAGAGTATTTGATAAAAAAATAAAAAGCATGTTTTTTTGTATTCGTGTAATTTCCATTCATTTAAACAAAACCCATCAAAAGCATTTAACTTTCATAGGAACTTATCTATTACACACCTAACTCATTAAATTTTTGCTGCGAGTTCTCGTATGGTAATTTCAGGATAAATAATATGAAAACAGAGCTGGGAAAGTTCACACCTCTTCCATCACTAGCTGCTGTAAAGCACATTCAATAAAATCTGCTATTCTCTATACAATTAATTACTCATCAGTATTATCAAAGATTATCATCACTGATGCTATCATAACCGGAAGCAGTCTGGTAGTATAACGTATCACGTACAATGTTTGTCTCTTTTTGAAACTGATGATTGATGTTTTGTTTTTCGTAAATTACAATGAAGGTTATATTATAGTTATCTATAATAATATATTATTCTTTGTGGATTATTACGGTGACAAAGGGCCACAATACATTTAATTTTAATAAAAGTATGACGATAATAAACAAAATACTTATAATAACAACATCTGAAATTTCCTCGCTCATTGTCAATTCTATAAGTTCTTATTTCAGCTGAGGTGATATTGATATTATGTTGACATTTGACGGTCCAACACCCAGTCTGGTGTACTTGGAAACACAGCAAAATGTCCTGGTATCATTACACGTCCTCCATCAACCATATACTCCTCCTGAAAACAGATTATCTAATTAACTACAATACTGCTTTTATCGACTATCTACGCATATAAACAGATATAGGCAACACTGGAAATACATTTCCAATCCAGACACAGATATGGTACGTAAATCAGCAAGTTACTGTCAATTGAACTTATGGAGCAAAGAAGTCTAAATATAAACTATTAAAAATAAACTTTTTTGCTCTAGAAATGCATCCTATTAGTTTAAGTTTAAAACAAAAAACCAAACTGCTAACATTGTAAACCATGTACCTAGTGTAGTAGTGAAATACCTATTAAGTCAGTATAAAACAAATAAAATATTTAAATTAGAGTTTGACGCTTCCCCTTGTTCCTCGGATTCGATTTCCAATCCAACAGCATTTTTTTCCTATATAATTAAATTTATTATTATAATTTCAATTTCTCTTTTCATTGTCTACTTCCAATAACAACATGAAAAACTTACAGTTTCCGTTGCAATCGAATCCATTGAACTTATGGTCGGTATAGTTTCAATATTTTCGGGGTTGCCATTAAAATTTTGTTTCCATCTAAAATACATAGAACTGTGGATTTCTATTCTAAATATATTATTATGTTGGGCCAATATGTACTTTAGCGGCCCACGAGCTTATACTTGTTATACTTGATCGAAATGCAAAATTTTACCGCACTCTAGCTTTTTTTATAGACATAAGGATAGATTGACATACCCATTAAGTCAGTAAGTTAAAATCGTTGGCCATTAGAGTACAGTACCTTGACTGATTACAATTTTATACCAATGATACTTGAAAAGTCCGGACAAATCACCATTTTTATACAATTAAAACACCCATTGAAACCACAAAAATAAAAACCAAATGTTAGAAGCATATTCACCTTGCTTCACAAGCTTTCTTTATGGCTGCATCATTCTTTCTTTTTTTTTTTGACACAATGGTAAGCAGGAATTTTACGCCCCATTGTAAAAGCTTATAACAAAAATATTAGTTGAAGCAACGATAATTAATAACTAGGTAGGTACTTATGATAATAAAATTTAATACGGTTGTGGATACTTACATACAGTCAACGATTAAACTTTTGCGGTCGTAGTATATCCAGCCAGTTTTACGATGAATGCACTCATAGCATCGCTCGGAACGCGTGCGGTACAAAGCGACACAGGTCCGACCTCCAAAGGCGCTGGTGCCGTACTGAACGGCGTCTTGATTTGCACTACTATATATTGCATTTTACGGGTGATGTTCAGAGTCTTATAAAATAATAATTAATGAAATTATTATAAAATTATATACATATTTCAGTAGTTCAATGATTGTAGATTAGTTTTATGACAGTTTTTGATAGTAATTCTATTTAATTCAATATCAAAATACGAGGTAAACCTGCGCTATTTTTTGGGGAAACTCACGGAGGTTAGATGTTTTTTTAATAATTAAGGAGATGGAAAATCAAGATTTTAATACATTATGTTGCAACAAAAACATATTTCTGGTGTCGTAGCAATTAATTTGATCTAATTTATTGAACATTATTGTGAGATTAAGGCGTTTTTAGTTGTGCATATTATCGTTTTTTCCGTAAACTAGCTGCGGTAGAACGATCAGTACAAAAAAATGGAAATAGTATTTGAAAATATTCTACATTAATTTTCAATAGGAAGAATAAATCTACTGTTTACTTCTATTGGAAGTAGTCAAAATCTCTTCTAAGGGGGCAAACGAGGCGCTCAGAAATTGCGATTTATTGCAAAAAATGTGAAAGGGCTCTTAAGTACACGCACCCATATTTTTTTATTGTTGGCATAAAGTATAGAGTACAATTACCCGAAATAACGTACAATACTTTATAATAAAGTACGGGTGGCAACCCTAATTGCATACTATAAATGCCAATTGATCTGGCATCAACGCTACCTACGTGATGTCATAATCCTCATGCATTGGCTGTATGGGCACAGTACCCTTTGCCTTCCCAGAATGGGAAAAGGAAAAAAAAACCTCATGCAACATGAATAATGACACATTTACAAAGGGACAGGACAGCAGGCCAATTATGCTCGCTAATTGTGATATTGTTTTGATGTCAATTTCACATTACGTATTATGCTCTCCGAAAAATGCGATATCAAAATGACATCAACTTATGCGTACCTATTATGATCAACTCTTTAAAATGATATCAACTTAAATGCGTATTACGTTCAACTTTTTGACTTAAAACAGTATCGCATAAACGTCAAAAATGTGATAGGTACAGGATATGATATTGATGTGATCTTGATGTGACATAGGAATGTTTCATAATACCAATTTAAAAACAATGTCAAGTTGGCATCAACATCATATTGAAATCACATTATGATTATATCACTAAAGCATAATTGACCCGCAGTTGCTGACTCCAAATCGACCAAATCGTTACTGGCGTCCAAGAAGTACGAGTTTGGTAGTCTTCGAAAACTAAGATCGTCTCGTTTTGTTTCCATACATTTCACACCAGCGCCTCTAGCGGAAACTGTAATGAACTATAATCGGCAGTTTATTAATTTCGTTAATAGATAAGACATTCATATTAGACAGAAGTCTGTCCTTTTTTCTCTAAGCGTGCAAGAAGGATGAAAATATACACCGTGAAGTTTGCACTATCGAGTTAACGATGGACGATATCGTTTAAACCATGCTCGAAAAAATTTACTTGTAGGTAGTCCGCGGAAAGAGAATGGGATTCAGATTGGAGGGCGCTGTAGTGCTTTTCTACCGTATTTGTAAGGTATTACGCCTTTTAGACATGATTAAATACAAAAAACCGCAAGAAATCACAACAACAAACAAATCCGTATCAATTTTGTATCAATACAAAACTTTGACGTTTTACAGATTGCTGGGTTTGATTGCCAAATAAATCTTAATGTTAGTTCCGTTTTTCGCCACGCCCATTCTCATTTCGCACAGACTCTATTAACAATGGTGCTAATTCTGGCGTGATTCTCTAAACTTAACACTAAATTTAACATCAGTCTCTCCTTTTCATTCTGTATAGAGAATGACAAGGATATACTGCTGTCAAATTTAAGTTTAGGTTTAGAGAATCACGCTAGAATCGACACCATTGATGAGGTAAACTGACACTTTGTGCGAGCTCACGAAAACTATTAAAGTTTTCGTAATTGTAAAGCTCGTACTAAGGGTACTGTACCCCTAGCACGAAACATTATCGAATTCGTAACGTTTGCGAGTCCGAAATGTCATTGTCAAATGTTTATTGATTTTTAATTCTCGTTACGTACTTTGTGGCGCTACTGTTCAAGTTTCCATACAAAATTTGACAATGACATTTCGCATTCGCAAACTATTCGAATTCGATATTAGTTCCTGCTAGAGGTACGCACGGAGACAGTATTTAATCATAACGTAGACGCAGTAAATACTGTCTCCAAATAAATTTACACTATGCCATTATCGGGTCAGCATTGCATTAACTCGACTGAAGACTCACTCACTGACCATATGTTAATCTGCCATCATTCACGTAAATGCATGTCAGTCCTGACATTCACTTTAACGTGAGAACTAAATTACATAAAACTAGTTTTAACGGGTTAATGCACGAAGCTTTATTTATTTATTGACGTTTCGCAGCATTTTCAGGTCAATGATTTTTTATTTAATTTTGTCGAGCTACCTTCGAAAGAGTCCTTCGTAAATAAATAAATTGTTTCGTGCATTACATTAACCCGTTAAAACTAGTTTTATTTATTGAGTGATGTGCGTGAAAACCTAAGAAACAAATATGGTACTAAATTACATTCCAACCTTCCGAAATGCTCAACGGTGTCCTTAGCGGTTTTCTCCGCACCCTCGTCTGTGGAGAGATCTGTCAATATCTCCAGTGGCTGTAGACCCTTTTCTTCAGCACATCGTACAGCGACCGACCGCAAGTTTTCAGCGTTACGGCCAACTAGAGCGAGCTGAGCGCCCAACTTGGCGAACAGGAGTGCAGTAGCCTCGCCTATACCAGCACTAGCGCCCGTCACCAAAACAACCTTACCAGTAAAATCCGGGTTCATTTTTTTTTAATTTACTCTTCAAAACTTATCACGCAACTCGAATTTAAAAGTCCTGGCGCAACAGGGATATATTGCAGACTGTGGCAAATCACTTGGCACTTTAAAATGTGATTATATCTTGTTGATATGCTATCTGTTAGGTAATAATATTTTAATAAGCGATAACACTTATTTCAAAGTCACCTACCTGTATGATAAGAGTTAAAGAGGATCATAAGAGCAGCCACGAGCCAAGATGCGAATACCGCTATTGTTATGTTGTAAATGATAAAAATAATAAATACCTAATTGTATTATACTTGTAATTATCGAAGTGAGAGTGAGTGCCATATCTTTTAGTAATCCGTTTGATAATTACTTTTTCGAGTCGACATTTATGGGGATAGGTAGTTTTAATACTTTAAATATAAAAAAAAAACTTTCTATCAGAAGTTGGACTGATGTCTTTTACAAACATTGTATGTTATTTTGATAACTATAATATATTTGAAGAAATCAATCGTCTCAGACACCTGTTGGTAGTTAATTATAATTGTTTGTTATAATAATTAAAATAAATAAATATTTTCATCACTTACACCAATAGGCTAGTTGACTCATGTCGAATTGTACTAAATAAATGTTTATTTCTTACAGTATTTGGTCTAAGGAACCTAAATATATCGATTTTACTTCATAAAAGCAGAAGATTGCTGTAGAAATTTAATTTTAAAAAATATTTTTTAGTCTATATTTTTTAAACACTAAAAACGCTGTTCGCCACATCCGCCATGATTTTGACGTCTCTTTCAGTAAACTAGTGTTGGGTAGGACACGACTTGAAAAAGAGTTTGTAAGAGTAGCCTCTTTTTTGTACTGAACCAGTACAATGTCCCACTTCAAATGAGGCGAGGCGTACTGAAGCTCGGCAATACATTGGAAGTGACGAGTACAAATATGACATTGAGGCGTACAGAAGCTCGACATTACGTTTGTGTGCACAAGTAGCACCTCCTCTACGTACTATCAATCTTGCTGGATCCAGCATGCAGGACAGCGCTATACACGTAAAACAGATAGAGATACAGATGGATAGTGCGTAGAGGACTTAATGCCTCGCTCTCTCTCTCAGACTTACGAAGAGTGAGTGAGTAACGAGACGCGACTATCGCGACATTTAATGTGAAGTAGTACATTTTAAAATTTTGAGCCGCTCTTACAATTTGGCGTCATGTCCGGGACAAATGTACCGCCTCTTGTAAGTCCTACTCAACACTACAGTAAACAACTAAATGTCATTTGCGTGTTATTGTGGGTGGATTCTTTAGTCTGAATAAATTTATCTTAAAACACTTTTACCTTTAGAAAAGTTTCAGTTTACTGATTTTTTTTTGACAAAACTAATTATGGATGCGTGCTTTGTGAAAGCAGAAAGCACAAATCTGAATTTTTTGCACTAAACCCCGATTTCTGCTCTGCGGAGCAGAGAAACGACAAGGCATCTATGTAAGTACAGTGCATTTAGTATTACAATGTAGTAATAAGCATAAAACTGATACAACATATGAATAAGTGTAATAAAGTTGCGTAGGTTAATTTCTTTCGGCACTTTAATCCACAACATTCCTGGAGTCTTCAAGGATGTGGTTTTATATTCTCGTACAATACAATAATGATGATTACTTTATTTTTCGTGATATTTATTAGAAATCATGTTCTTTTTATTATAAACTCGGATAAGTTATTTTCTACGTGCTTACGGGTTTTTGTTTACTACTGTTGACATCATAGCATAGACAATTTATAGACTAAAATGGCCGACAGCGTTTTTGTATGTCCATGAAAATTCTATTTTAATATTAAAGATTTGTAGCTTTCTAGGTCTCAAAAAAATACAAAACATTTTTTTTCGGTCTAATAGAACATTTATTAACAATTTAAAACCTTTTTCCAAAAAGGGTCAACTAGCCTATTAGCATAGCCCCAAATTAAGTACTGTAAGGCTTGTGTTATGGGATGCTAGGATAACGGATAGAATACATATACAGTACACATATAAGTATATTTATATTAAATATCCATAAGTGGAGTTCAAATGCTCGTATTCATCACACAAACATCTGCCCCCACCGGGATTCGAATCGGCGACACCATTAAACACGGCGTGCATACCACTCGGCCATGGAGGCCGTCAAGAATATTGTAACTGCATATCTTACCTAAGTATCCTTTCGTTTATAATTATATAACTGACACATATTAAAGGAGCATCTGTGCTAATGTCACACTGAACTCAAAACACCTGCTACATTACATTAAGTTTATTATGCAAATTTAAATACATAAAAGCAAAATATATTACACAAAAATTTGATATTTAAATATCTATAGCCTAGTTTACAGTATTAACTAAGTAATTATTACAGTCATGGGAAAATTATAAACCTACATATTATATTATTACAAAATGGCACTTCTTAAAACAGCAAATTTTAAACACAAATTTTATTTGCGTCATACGAACTAATAACATATTCGTAAAATTGATTCTATAAGTGAGCATGACTAATGTAAATGAACATGCATTGAATATATATCACGTAAAGACTGGATAGAGGCACTGAATAGGCAGACTCTCCAGGGAATCGGTTAAGTGACCTTAGTAGGCACCAGTAAACGCCCATTAGACAAAACTACAAGGAACTACACCTTATTATTACTATAGTATAAGCCAAAAACCAGTTTTATATGCACTGTTAACCAACAAAAAATATCATAAGTATGCAGTCTTTATAATATAACAAATTACATATTAACAGAAAAATTTCTTATGTCTCATAGGTCCATTGTCTTCGTCACTTTCAGAAAAACATGCAGCGAAACCACTTTTGTCTCTCAGAGATTCCCTGCGGTCATTTTTGATACTCTTCTTTGCGCTATCTAACGGTTTTAGCGATATACAGCTCCTCCTTTTAGATCTACCTCCCATCTGGTTGTTCGGTGTAGCAACATTAATACTCGCTATAGAGCTCACCGGATCCTTTGAATTGCTGAGAACTAAGACAGAATTCTCAGGATGTTGCAACATCAGGCCGATGCGTCTACCACTTCTTGTCCTTGATATTGAATTTTCAACTGGGTTCTCCTTTCTATCTGAATTATGGAACTCATTAGAATTTTTGTTCATTTTGCCTTTTGGTACTCCATCATTAATTGAAACGTTTTTATTTCTTATTGGATATCTAGATGTTAGACTGCTTTTAGATTGAAAAGAAATATTAACTTCATTAGACGATATTCCCTTATCATCCACATTATGCTTAAGCATAATTCTTGCATCCATAAACTTTAACAAGCTAGTGCTTTTGTTTATTTTTGCGGACCTATCATTGGTTTTCAAAGAAACTAAATTCAGAACATTTTGTGACGAGTCCATGCTACAGTTCATTAACGGTGTTTTTGATAATCCCGTGTTTACAGATTTATTCAAGCAAATTAACATTGAATTGTCATCATTTTTAGTGACATGATTTGATTCTTTTATAAAATTTCTATTTCCTTTGCGTATATTGTTCCTGGAAGAATGTAATTTAGTGGATCTAATATAGTTAGCAGTGAAACCAGACACATCACTCATGTCATCAAATTGACCACTGTTCACCTTCATCAGTTTATTTGTTTCGTTAGATGATTTTTTGGGGGTGTTCAGGTCACCCCCTGCAAATGCCTCAGGTGTTTTCTTAATTCTGCACAACCTTTCTTTGCCGGAAAAGACATTGTTATATTTACCTCCATTTCTATTGACTATATCACCATTTAACACTTCAAAGGAATCATTGGGATGACCATTATGGTCGCTGGTCCGTTGAGTTTTGCGCAAGCTTCTCCTCAAGATGCCAACTGCTTTAGGAGTGGAAGTCACAATTTTGTTCTTCTTATGTACAACTGCTTTATTTGATTTATTAAATTTAGTTTTTTTTGATTTATTTTGTAAAGATGGACTTTTGATGTTGAAATTTAAGTCAGAGCCAAGGGTATCAGACTTACAGCTATTCAAGATTGTTATCTGATTCTTGTTTTGAGAGGTGTCAAAATACAGATTATGCTGCTTTCCCGAGGATAGTGATTCGTCATCAAGCAAAGACAACTTCCGTTTCTTTTTCTTTTTAGGAGAAGCATCTAATACCATACTATGAACACTTATAGGTTTTGAGGCCTGAGCTCTTACGCATTGTCTCTTAATCACATTGTCATAGTTGAAGAGGCACGGTGCTTGTTTGGTGGTGATCCAGTATGATATTTCGTCCATATTGTTCATAAAGGGAATATCATTGGAGGCATGACTCGGTTGGGTTGTGGGCTGGCGCAGCGTCGCGTGGTGGGCGGGGGTCGGCAGAGGCGCGCGAGGCACCGGAGAGGCGTCGTCCATCCGCAAACGGCCTGAGCGCTCAGATCAGAACTCTCGTCTGACAGCAGGTAGTTCCCGGGTAAGTTGACACAGCTTAACGCAGTTTTTTCCATTTTTTAAGATCTCGCATGGCGAAGTCCTGAAAAAACCGTAGAATCTCCATCACTCATAAATTGCAAACAGATTGTACAACAATAATATCGATTTATCCCCACGATAGTTAACATGCAGTCAATTAATTACACTTTCTTTGAGCAGGCTCAATTATCATTAAATGCATTATCTAAGACACGTAGGACACTTACAAATTCTTTGTTTCAAAACAGTATAGCACGCACACCCAATGACAGATTCAGCATCAAAAATAGTCAATAAGAGGACTTAACAGGCGATTTATCATTAGTATATCCAATATGTATACACATTAATAAGTCAATGGAAAGAAGATATCGTAATTAATTTATGAATCAATTTGTAATTTACAGTATGAAACTCGAAACAGAAACGCAAGAAAAAACCGATACAAGAAAGACGTCAAAGATCACAGCACAGATTACATATAAATCATAGATTAAACAAACCAAAGACCGCATTATAAGTGAGAAATATGGAACGTAGGTTTTTTTTTATTGCTTTCTGCTATAACGTGATATTATTGACAGTGTAATATGCCGTATTGCAGTATCACCGCTACAGCTTGCGATCAAGCTTGTGATACTGCGATCCTAGTCCTAGTATATAGAGAATGTTATCGGTGTCGATTCAGGCATGATTATTTAAACTTAAAAATCGGTTGAGTGACGATAGTTGAACGTGACAACGTTTTTTTACAATGTACATAGTTTTTATTGTTTTTATTTTAGAGCAATTGTTTAACAACTTTTAAACATGTGTGATATCATTACCTTTATCGTCGCAATTATCGTGACTATAAACAATTGACACCACATTCACTTTTCACTGCACTTCATACTTGACGAAAACATGTATATGTATTATTGTATATGTATAAAACCCTAAAGTAAAAATAGGCTGAATGTGTTATAGCATTGCCTTCTTTTGTGGGAAATTAAAAAATAAATAAAAATCTTACGCGCCCATTCGCGCCTTCTTGCGCGCACTTGTCAGTGTCAAAATGTGGACTGACCTGACAGTTTACTATCGTAAACATTGTGTGGAAAAATCTAGTGAATTCGATGTTCTTATTAATTTTGGGTGTGAAATGTTTGTATTTCAACTATGAACGACATTCAGTGTCTCATTGATCGCCAGCTAGGCATTTGTAAGTTTAATAAATTATGTTTTCAAGTTAAAATTTAGTATAAAAGATTTCTAGACTAACATCCTCGTGATCTTTCTTATTATTCACTCTCTTCTCATTGCTTTTTGAATAAATTTTCTGTTAAACAAACAATTGGCAGCTTATACTTATGTTATTCATTCGTCACTACAGACTGCCGGCTGAATTACGACAACGTACTGAAACGGCTCGTAGTAAACAGCGAGGAGTCGTTCTACGGGCTGCAGAGCTCGGCGCTCGCCGCTTTCGACCAGGACCCGCCGATATTCGCGTGCCGATTCTCGGAGGCTCCCGGCTACGAGCACATCCTCGCCCTCGCCAACGAAGACGGCAGAGTTGCCATTCAGGTATTTACTGACATGTTTATTTACAATACAATATCTATTAATGTAGTGCGTATTTTTAGGACAATATGTGTGGAATGTTTATTGTTAAGTGCTTAGCAGAGCACAGTAGATCCAGAATACAGAAGCCAGTGTGTGGTTTGTAGTTTGCAGTAAAACACTTACTGGACATGTCTGGACAAGACTTAACAAGTGGTAATATTATTACTTTATGTAGCAGATAGTGTAAAATTCAGTTTACATCAGCATTTTTAATCAGTAATGCACATTTACCATTGACAATCTTGTGTAGAACCAAAAACTAATAATCTTTGTAATTGAATAGTGAGAAATACAATAAAGTCTGGTCCTTTGACTTATTTATCCTTTGTTACTAATAACCCGTAATATGTTAAGTTCATAGGCATACATAAAAAGTTAGTATTTTTTAATGAAGTGAGAAAGCGGTAGTATAGTCATACCTGGGTGCCATTCGCCTAACGGACATGCTTTGGAAAACGCTAACTCTTCGATTTTATTTTGTTATTTCTGACCGCCGAAGGTTTTCAAATAACTCATGCTTATTTTTTTTAATATTGTTATTACCAATGCAAAAGAAAAACAAAGAGCGCCAGGCATTTGAAAACCACAGGCGGCTTGAAATAACTAAATGAAATTGTAAGTGTTAGTGTTTTCCGAAGCATTTCCATTAGGCGAATAGCCCCTTGTACAAACTGTTGGCTGCATGAGTGCTTCAGTCAGCTACTCACATTCCTGCTGCAAGGGCAATCCAGGGTGTAAGAGTGGGGATGAACCAATTTTTTTTGTTGTGTCTAGCACACCATAACAGTGTGGGTGTGACACAATGTCGCATTAGCTAAAGCTGAAACAGGGTCCTGGTAAGCCCTTAGTTTTTTGAATTTGTATTTGAAAATGAGGGTCAATAAAGATATATTCTATTCCAATTTTTTATGTGTGTAGGCAAGCAGGGATAATTCAAATGTGGAAAATGGCCCATCTCCCTAATTGTCTTAAGGTTACACAGAAAATTATAAAATAAATAAAATAAAAAGGTTTTTATTCCATATCTATTCGTTAGTTTTACATTTATTTATGTTAGGTTGTTAGTAAACCTAAATATTATGTTGATTTTTAGTATTCATTAGTATAGTTTCAGACATGGATCCCATCTGGGTAAAAGCCTCCTCCATTGCTTTTCACTTTTCTCTATCTTTCCCCGCTTTCAGCCAGTCCTTGCCTGACACAGGAAATTACATAGGATTAATTTATTCTCAATATATTTAAGTGAACCTGCCCAAGCTTTGCCTTAGTGAAAACTTTTAAACATTTGAAACTTGCTTACTTCCTTGAAGTATGGACTTGAAATATTTTCAATTCTCGTGCTATGCATCAACCAATACAAATTCCTCCCTGATTGTCTTGTTTTGGCGCTAAAAGTGAAACTGTTGCGGGGAGTACAAGTATGTGAAACTTAAATCTTCAGAACCGCATGGAGCCTGTGGGACTCCCTGTCTCCACTTTAAGATTGAATTAATTTGGCTGATGAAGATGCATAGTGTGCTTTGTTGTGTTTTATTTCCAAGCTGATAATCTAATTAATAATAATAAATGTTTCCAACACTCACACCAATTAGCCTAGCCCCAAAGTAAGCACTGTAAGGCTTGTGTTATGGGATACTACCGTAATGTACAGATATAAGAGCTGAAACTGATTTTATCTAGGGATGTGTTATCAATATTTTAATTTAGTTATATCTTAGTTTTTCTTGTATTATTATAGGATACATCTACCGTAACTTCAGCACGCAACCTAGAAGGCTTTCAATGTCACAACAATGCTGTCTTTGACCTGGCTTGGAGGCCGGGTTACATGAATTTTGTAACTGTCTCAGGTTAGTTATATTCCATACACTATACTAAATAAAAAAAAAAGTACAGCTGATACCTATTCAATATATTTAATTACAGTTATTATAACGTTTCTAATGTTTCTGTGTATTAAAGCGTGATGATTCTCCACAGACATACCAATTAAATGGTTTTATGGAAACTTTGTAATCATTTTGTGTATCACTGAATAAAAGCATTATTCATAATCCTCAGCATATTAATGTCCCCACTGCTGGGGCACAGGCCTTCGGAGATTCGGCCATCACCCACCACGCGGGCCCAGTGCGGATTGGTGGGTGCTAACGACTGCAGATGCAGCCGGGAACAACGGCTTAACGTGCCTTCCAAAGCACGGAGGAGCTCGTGATAATAAATTTTTGGCCATCTATCTAATGACCAACCACTGCGAAAGTGGCTTAACTTCAACGATCGCAGCCGAACGCGCTATCGAGCTCATCTATGTATATATTTATTTATATAGCATTATTATAACTATATAAATAAAATATTATATTCGTTTGATTCTGTTGATCAAAATTGTTTATGATTTCTTTTGTTTTGTTTATGACCTCAGGCGATCACACCGCTTGCCTCTGGGACGTCGCCGAAGGTTCTCCCAAGAGGATCCAAGTGTTCTCCAACCACACCAGGTCAGTAAAAACTGCAGTATTTCGACCGAACGAGCCCACCGTATTCGCAACGGGGGCTAGGGACGGCCACATTCTCATTTGGGACATACGCGCCAACAGCCAACCTTCCGTGATTTTAAAACCGGACAACTGTTTATTAAACTGCCACTCGAGTTTCACGCCCAAAACGCCGGGATCTCACTCGAAACGGCCTCGCATCGACAACCACAGAGCGATCAGCATAACCGGCCTGGTGTTCCAAGACGACTCGACTCTCATATCCTGCGGCGAATGCGACGGCAACATCAAAGTGTGGGACTTGAGGAAGAACTACTCGATCTACAAGAAGGAACCTCTGCCGAAAAGGTCGATCCCGTACTGCGGCAGCTCCACAAAGAACGGCCACACCAACTTGATAGTCGACGACGCTAGAATGCGGCTCTACGCCAGCTGCATGGACAACGTCATATACTGCTTCAACATATCCACATACGGCGCTCTTCCCGAACAGCGATACATCGGCCACGAGAACAGCACCTTCTACATCAAGACATGTCTCAGCCCCGACGGGAATTACCTAGTCAGCGGGAGCAGCGACAAGAACGCTTACATCTGGAACGTGAAATACTCCGAGCCCGTGGTGAAGCTGACAGGCCATTGGGCGGAAGTGACGTGTGCCGCGTGGGGCCGCGCTTCCGGTATTAAACTGGTCACTTGCAGCGACGACGCGCGACACAAGATATGGCGCGTGGGCCGCGAGGTCAACGACCCCGAGCTCGAGATCAAAGGCCGCGCCGAACCCGTCCCGAGGACAGACCTCGCCAGCCTCCCCAAATGGGGCGCCGTCGATAAAACCCCCAGTTCTCTCAAACGCAAAGTCTCGACCCCCGGCTCTTTAGCCGGCAAACGTTTGAAGACGCCCTCTTCGTCTGTCAGGAAAACGAAGCGATGTCTCGCGGATCTGATGAGCGCGTCGAAAGAGGAGGAATCGGACGTTCTAGCGAAGAGGTTGAAGCTAGACATCCCAAATGCGATTGAGGAGGAGCCGAAGTTGTTGCCGGCAGGTATTAAGCGTCATGCTGAAGGAAGCACTGAAGCCAGCCCCGTCAAAAAGTGCATGTTCGACGCCCCGACTTGTTCCAACGAGTGGAGTTACGTCCCACCGAAAGCGGGCACTTCCTTCATGACGCCCACGAAGAATTACGAGAGGAAATCTTGCAAAAAGCTCTCCCCGAAAAGCCCGAAGCCGATCTCGCCGAACTCTGCGCCGAATCGGTCGCCTGTGAAAGTGTCGCCCGCTAAAGTTAGAGTAATCAGCTTCAACACGCCGACGAAAAACTTGCCCAACTTCGTTTTGGACGGCGAAGCTCCTCACCTGAGGCTCATGTCGCCGGTTAAGAAGAAACAGGATACTACAGACTGGTTGACGCGGATCGTACGCGAAAAGAAGGCGAAAATATCTGATAGCGGAGCTGTAGCTGCAAATATTACGCCTCTCAGCCCGAAGGAATCTTTACCTCAGCGAAGGAACTCTGTAACGGACAGAATACCTAAATCGGGCACCAAGAATTGTAGTACCTTATTAAAATACTTTAGCGTCTCTAATAAGTGACTAGCGTAGATAAGAAGAATAGTTTGTAAGAATCACAATAATGGACTGATATATGTTTCCAAATTTGGCCTTGACTGGTCGATTATGTTTAATGTTATTTATGTGAGTATGAAATAGAAGAAGGTTCTGCAAGCAATCTCATTTCTCTGCTTCCCGATCTCTTGCTGAAATCTCTCACTTTAGATAATCTCGAACAAGTTAAATTGTAAAGGACATGGTAAAGTTTTGTATGAACGACTGCCCTGGCAATATATAAATACTATACTTAGTAATATTTAATGGTAAATGGCTGAATATTTATAATTTCTATGAAAAAAGGCTTAAATAAAGTCACAATCTTGAAAATTATGACAACTCCTACTATGTTATTACCTTACTACAGTTGATAAAAGATGTTGCCAATTACTTACAGAGTTATCAATTTCGCATTTTCTTAGAATCTTTCTTCCCATTTCTCTGATTAGCTCTTCACAAAAAGTTTTTTCTGAAGCAAAAACAAATACAAATAATTGTTTATCATCGATCTGACAGGAAATCTGTGAAGTTTTTTGTTTATCCATTTGCAAAAATTAAAGGATAATTATCATACAGCCTTGTCTCAAGCCTGATCAGAATAATAAAATCTATTATTTTAGGCCTTCAGTGCTTTGTTATAATAAAAATTAGGGCCAAATATGTCATAGTTTGAAGGAGTTTAAAAATAATATTGTTTATTTCGATATATGTACTTACACAAATATTGTTTGTGTACATTTATTGTGCATTTATTTTGTAAAACGAACATTTTGCTTTTGAAACGGACATGAAGTCAATTTTAATACTTTTAAATATTTGATTATTTCACGAAAGTTGTACGAGAATAAATAATATGTAATAATTAATAAAAAAGTATTGTGAAGTTACGGGCTAGTGCGAAATATTTATACACGTTAAAGGCAGTTTCTTAGCCATGTCCTTTTCAGATGTTAAAGAATAGAGAAAGGGTAAAAGAGAGCTGACGAGAGTCAGTTAGTCATAAAGTTACTTGGGACTTATTTTATTTAAAAATTTTAAACTTCGGACGGACAGAGCCATTAATTTGTGTGACTAACAAATGCACCAAACGTTTCCTCCGTGTGTATAAATTTTAATACACAAAATATTTAAATTGCTGACCGAACGTAATAGAATTTGTTTGATGAACATATAATTCGTATGACGTATTTTGCTTAGTAGCAAAGATATTATTTATATTTTACTATATTTGACTTGATGAAATGTAGCACGGATCAAATGAGCGGCGAAATTGTTGTTCTAATGTAGTTTTTTATCATTATATGGTGGAAAACCTACCATTTTTATTCATAATTAATAATTGTTTAATAATCTTATGCCATCAAAATTAGAGTAAATAAAACTTATTACTGTAGACCAGGGCTTGTTTACCGGTTAATTTTCCAACCTAAATCAGTGTCAAGTACATTAGGAGCGTTTTATTTAGGTTTGACTCTACCTTAACCTTAAAAAACCGGTTTTCCTAAAGAGCGAAATCAAATAGGTTTTGAATCAATTTAGCGGTTTTTAAAGGGTTTCTCTTCTCTACCTTAACCTTAAAAAAATCGGTTTTCCTAAAGAGCGAAATCAAATAGGTTTTGAATCAATTTAGTGGTTTTTAAAGGGTTTCTCTTCTCTACCTTAACCTTGATAAAACCGGTTTTCCTAAAGAGCGAAATCAAACAGGTTTTGAATCAATTTAGCGGTTTTTAAATGGTTTCTTTTCGCTCTTTCTGGCGGCATCGATAATAAATGAATAACTTGACTCACTAGACGCTAGCAAACGTGTCAACAAATGCACCAATCTCTCTGCATTATCAAGTTGTGACTTGATAAGTTCAAACAAAACAAACTTCAAGCGATGCCGACGCGTGCACGTGTCGCTCTGAATTAAACCGGTTTATTCAGGTTTTAGGTACCGCTTTCATTTCGGACGCGCTCCGAACGAAACCTTTACTAAAAACCGGTATTAACCTTTATTTACCGGTATTTTCGAAACCCGTTTCAAGCCCTGCTGTAGACCCTCGATGGTTACTTATTCACCAGCAGAACCCTACTGTCAATGTTATCTAAGTTCCACAAGCTTTTGGTCGCACAAACTTCGGCTACCACAGACAAATAAACTTGCTCAGTGCACGTTTTCATATGCTCCTGCGCAGGTTCCATTGTCCATGGTTTAGTTTAAAAAGTTTGCCGAGGAGTGTGCTTGATCCATCGTTGCCGAACAGTTAGTCGCATGCTTAGATTAAATAAAAAAGTTGAAGATACAGTACGCTCATACTAGCATTAAATAAAATACTAGTAAACCAGTGAACCAAATGTTCACCAAAACCTGATTTCTCGAAAACCGAAAGTGCTACGTTACTCAAATCCGGTTTGTAGTCTTATCAGACTATTCCCTATAACTTAAATATTCTCTATATCTATCTCTTACGCTTTGGCCGCTGAAACAGCACCACAGACAGACGGACGGACTTGTCTAATAGATAAGAGAAGATGCGACTCAACTACATAAGCAACTGTCACACACGCACACGTCTGTGTATAAACATTCAATCGAGCGAGCGAGATAGAACTGTGCCCTTAGCACGAAGCATTATCGAATTCGAATAGTTTGCGTACCGAAATGTCAATGTCAAATTTTGTATGGAAACTTGAACAGCAGCGGCACAAAGTACGTAACGAGAACTAATAATCAGTACACATTTCTCAATGACATTTCGGACTCGCAAACGATACGAATTCGATTTTAGTTCGTGCTAGGGGTACTGTACGCTTCAACGCAGCGCGAGCGAAACGGCGAGTCCGCTTCCGAGTGCGAACGGCTGAGCTGTATTGTTGTCCTTTTCTTGATAACAAATTAGCGATTACGTAAATAATATTCAAGACAAACGGTGATTTTTGAGAGAAAAATATGTTTTTACAGTTTTACGAATGAAAAGTGTAGCTGAGGCATCTCTTATCTATTAGACAAGTCCGTCCGTCCGTGGTGCTGTTTCAGCGGCCAAACCGTAAGAGATAGATAAAGAGAATGTTTAAGTTATAAGTTAAGAATAGTCTGATAAGACTACAAACCGGATTTGAGTAACGTAGCACTTCCGGTTTTCGAGAAATCACGAATTTCAAACGAAACCACACAAAATCTCCGAAGTTCTCAATTAATTAAATACATTTTTTTTTTAATCAGGTTTTGGTGAACATTTGTTTCACTGGTTTGCTAGTTTGTTATATTTTGATGTTGAACTATGTTTGTTCTTCATAAAAGCATCGAAGACTTGTTGTTTTATCTTTATAACGCAGAATATACGCAATATTGTTATATTGAGTGCACGTGCAGCGTGTTTGAATGTCCGATTGTGACTAAAGCGAATTGTGGTCATGCACCACAATTTAGGCGGATCTCTTTTGAGCCGCGAGTGCCGCATCTTCCCTTTTTGTTTTAATCTAAGGTCACATGTGGATTTTATAAGAAGGTAGAGTCTGTGCGGAAAGAGAATGGGCGTGGCGAAAAACGGAACTAACATTAAGATTTTTATTTGGCAATCAAACCCAGCAATCTGTAAAACGTCAAAGTTTTGTATTGATACGGATTTGTTTGTTGTTGTGATTTCTTGCGGTTTTTTGTATTTAATCATGACTAAAAGGGATAAAACCTTATAAATACGGTAGAAAAGCACTACAGCGCGCTCCAATCTAAATCCCATTCTCTTTCCGCACAGACTCTATATCGCCGTAGTAATGTTAGATACATTTGTTCTTTCCATGCGAAACGAGCCTGTTAGTACTTATAAGAACTGTAGTGATGGCTTTCATTCTGTTTATTAATTTCATAGCAACTTGTCATTAGATCACCCTCAAAAGCCACACTAAGGGACGTCAGTTAACTTTTAAGTTTCGTTAAGGTTCTTTGCTATAAACTATAGAGTAAGACAACGTGTGATTTTAATTTTAATGACACTCAATTTATTTAATTTCTCTGAGTGTGGCCTTGATGTAGTCACATTAATTTAGAATAATTCTCGTAGAGTTCTGAATAGTAGAAGTAGAGGCCCTTGTCTGATGTGGAATGTGATAATATATATAATTAAGGAAGTTATATGGCCTTTTTATTACATACAACACCCGTATGCATTAAGTATTAAGTTACACTTGAGATAAATAAAAAAAAAACCATGAAGAAGTTAAATGATTGAAGAACACTATATTTATTTATTCAAGAAACATGCTGACTTACAGAACTAGGTCCAACGCATCAGCAGGTCACATTAATTAAAATTATAAATTAAATACAATAAAATCAAAATTAAATCTATATATATGTTACCGGCCAAACCCGATTTCAGGACAAACTAGTTTTGCCTAGGCTAAACTGGTTCTTCCTATGCGCGATAGGATTAACTAGAATAGCCTAGTCCAAACTAATTTGTCCTAAGCCCGATAGGATAAACCAGTTTAGCCTAGGCCAAACTAGTTGATCCTGATAAAAATACGCATACTCTAGGATAAACTAGTATGGCCTAGTGTAAACATTATAGTATATCTAGAAAGTCAAAATAAATAGATAAACTGAATAAAATAATCCGTAATTGGAAAAATAATATTTTTTATTAAAACCATAATGATTCATCGTTACAAGTTATGGATAATTAGTAATACAAAGAAAAGTAAGAAAAGTTTAATTTTTCTAGTAAACTTTTCTTTAGATTTAAACACCTAGCAGTTAAATGCTTAAAAATAAATAAAAACACTAACTATAATTGCTATTTCTTCTTTCAAATGTTTAATACTTGAAAAAGTATTCATTTGACATTGTGGGTTGCGTGGTTGCAACCTACAATGCGAAGAGATGACGCTGCCTTGCAGCTTAAGGCTAGGAAAATTTCGACGCGGCGAATAGGGCCGTGGTAGCATAATGGTCAGTGCATTCGCCCGGATTGCGAAGGGTGCGGGTTCGAGTCCGGTCCGCTGCCTGGTCCGCGTGGTTTTTTTAACTAGTAAACTTTTCTTAAAATATTTTGAGTTTACAGTGAGATGAATTGTAAAAGGTTCGAATGATTCGGAATTTCTTAAGCCGGGTAGTTACTCATTGGCGAGCTGTAACCATAACCGTTGCACGCACTGTAACCAAAAAGCATAGTGTGTACGTGGTTCGATAACCTGCTGCGAGAACGGTACGCGTGCGGTTTGAAGCGAGCCAACGTTCACAACTGAGCTACTAGCGTACACACTAGAACTTCGTACTGTATCACGCATGTTACGGTAACAGATCGCTAATGCGTACCCGGCTTTACTGTCTTCCGAACTCCCGGCAACAACAAAAGAGTTAAACAAAAACCAATTACAGAAAAAACACTCCCTCCACTTTCTTCCAGCGTTCTTTTTACATGACGCGCCCTGTACAAGTCCTGACATGTCTGTTCAATTACTTTCCGCTTTGCTAAATTGGTTTAGACTAGGTCGTACTAGTTTATCCTAGAGTGTGCGTATTTATATCAGGATCATCTAGTTTGGCCTAGGCTAAACTGGTTTATCCTGTCGCGCTTAGGATAAATTAGTTTGGACTAGGCTATACTAGTTAATCCTATCGCGTATAGGAAGAACCAGTTTAGCCTAGGCAAAACTAGATTGTCCTGAAATCGGGTTTGGCCGGTAACATATATAAAACTCAAAGGTGACTGACTGACATAGTGATCTATCAACGCACAGCCCAAACCGCTGGACGGATCGGGCTGAAATGTGGCATGCAGGTAGATGTTATGACGTAGGCATCCGCTAAGAAAGGATTTTGATCAATTCTACCCCTAAGGGGATAAAATAGGGAATGAAAGTTTGTATGAAACTTTGTCAATTTTAAACCAATCGGGCTGAGACTTTGCATGCAAGTATAAGAAGAATCATAGATGAATGTCATTGTGTATAATACAAGCCTGAGAACAAAAACTGTAGTCTACACTTCAGCTCTACACCGAAGCGAAGCGAGGGCGGGCCGCTAGTTAATATATATATAATGAAATATACTCCAATGTCAATGTCAATATTTACTTACTAGACATTTACAAGCTACTTTAATCATATGTTCGAAATGGTCGGCATATACATCTATTTGATCGCACTGAGCGAGCACGATGTCGATGAAGCGAAGTACGCGCGGGGTGGGTGCCTGGGTGCATGCGCAGCGTGTAAAGTCCTTGTATGGCCGTATACAGAAAGAAAGCCGAAAGCCGATCAGCGCCGATAAGCGCCGACAAATGCGCACGCTGGTCATGATCTATGTTGTCCGAATAATAAATGATTTGTATTTGAATTATTATCCTTAGATTAAATCAATCTAAGTTATAATCTTTTCATAAATCTCATAACTTTATCTTTTATTAACTAAGCGCTAAAATTATTTGTTTCGTACTTACCGAATGGTGACAACAAGTCTTTCTTCTGGAAGGATTGATTGTTTATGCCAATTACACCAATTTTTCATCAAACGGTTTTTCACTGAATCCAAAATGTAATAAAATGTTTCTTGAGTCATTCTTGTATATGTATAAAATCTTTGATCATAAATTTTTTTATTACATATAAATGATGGTATTCTCCGAAACGATTCCTCTTTTTTCGCATTTTTAAATACACATTTTCAAAGAAAACTAAATCGTCGTCCGATGAGTCCGACATTTTGCTTGCTCTACTTTAATCGGCTTCCTTTATGTAGTAAGGATCGGCGCTGATCGGCTTTCTTTCGGTATACGGCCTATCGGGCACGTGGAAGAGACGCGGCGCCTGTCCGCCTGTCCATCCCAAGGGATACGTGAAGTAATAGGTTCATCCTGGACACCAAGTTACTATCTACCCTATGATGCAATACGGAGACGAAGTATACAAACATAAGCATTTTACTCCTAACAGCTAGTGTCACAAGATCCACCATACCAGTGACGAGTAGTGAGGAATATAGGAATATAGATATGGGTAATTCCCATAACGGCGTTTGTAAGGCCAACGTGCAAACTTTCGCTGTACGCGCTCCACCATAAGTGCATATTTATTCTCTCGTGGGTCCCATATAATAGCAGCGTATTCGAGCTTACTACGGACATATGCGCCATATAAGACCTCACCACCGTCCGTATTATTGAATTCGGAGGCAGTCCTAAATCATCTTACTTGTTTGTTTGCAGGTTTCTATTACTTGTTTGTGGAAGTCTAATTTATCGTCTAAATTTAATCCCAAGTCTTTAATTTCACTAACTCTGTTGCCAGAGGTGTGTATTTTTAATGGGGTACGTTGGCGAGAGTACGTAATAATTTTACATTTGGAGCTATTAAAGGGGCTAAGCTACTAAACTCCATCTGACACCGCATCTATATCAGTTTGTAAAGCTTGGGTAACTATGACATCTTTTATGCGTAGAAACAACTTCACATCGTCTGCAAAGAAAAGACATCGAGCAGTCCCAATAGACAACGTCAAATCATTTATCATTATTTGAAAAAATGTTGGACCCAATGTGCTTCCTTGACTGACTCCGGATCTTGTAAAGTATTCCGCAGAATCAAAACCACGCACTCTTACAAACTGACGTCTGTTGTTTAGGTAATCGGCGAAAAACTTTAGCAGCCCTGGCGTGAAACCTATCAATGCTAATTTTCTTATTAGTATATCATTGTCTACTAGATCGAAAGCTTTTTTAAAATCAATTTCATATGGTGAAAAACTACTACCTTATCTTTATGCCGGCACTTCACTTGTCTATTCGTGATTGCTATTTGTAAACTTGAGTAATATGACTCAGAATATATATTTTTTAAAGATAGACACGACAAATGACTCCCCCCCACTTGATGTTAAGTGACGGTGAAGTCTAGACACGAAAATCCCACCCTGCCGGCCTGCATGTTGCTTCTTTACGCCTCTTTTAAAGGATCCCAGGTTGTAAGAGGGAGGGAACACGTGAGCGGGCAGAGCATTCCATTTACGGATAGTGCGACAAAGAAATGAGTCACCAAATTTATTTGTACGCGTTGGAATTGTAGCCACAGTTGGACGGTGACAACGTAGGCCAGCGCACGTGGTCCTCTGAAGGAAAGGGGAAGGAATCTCAATTAAATCTGCAAAACTGGGTTGGGGGCATAATGAAACACTAATTATTCAGATGTGCCATTGCTCACTCTTTATTACGATTGTTAATTCAATATATAAAAAAAAACATTATATAAATTATTATTTATAATATCACCACTGATTGTAGAAAGTTTGTGTCCCGTCGAGCCCCGGTTTTATAACCTGACCAAAAATACCTAAAATTAAATTGCATACTTTCCCATACATATATAATGTTTACCTTAGTTGCACGTCCTTCTTTTTAATATTTAAAATATGTATTGCTAATAATTTGCCTCGCCATCATTTCCGAATTTCATGAATTCATTCCATTGTCAAAGAAGTTATTTGTTACAATACCATTGATAAAATTATGATAGCAGCTTCAGGTCATTACATTGATATGCCATTGATTAACTTATAAGGTGCTTACGTAAACACTGCCGAAGAAAAAAGCATTAATAATACAAGAGAGAAATGTCAATAAACAAAATTTCTAGTGTCCTTAAGAACTGTAAATAAGAACCTGGAGGCCAACTCTAATTCAACATAAAACGAAATTTCTGGTTTATTTTTTAATTATAATAATATTCATCGTCGGAATATAGATTGAGGTGTAAATTTTCTAAGCCTACTCAAAGAAAGCTTCAATTTGATAGTTTATCGTTCAAATTAAGTATAACCTTAAATTGACGAAATTAAATTTCGTTTGAACTTCGTTATCGAAAGTTTGTTTCGGAAAAAGAGAGTAGACCACACTTTTCACAGAAGTTTTAATCACGTAACAACACTTTTCTTTTATATGAAAAAAAATTAAGAGCAATTTATTTATCTGCCTCTTTTAATGAATAAAGGAAAAAGTGTTATTATAGATAAAAATTATAGAGACTTGGTTTCACATTTAAAACATTTCAATAAAGCTTTCCACGTGCATTGTGTGATAATTACAATTTTTTTATTTTAGATTGAATTGCCAATTCAAATTTATTAGCTCTCCTTTCCATATTGACAGAAGGAAAAGTAAAATTTGTTTCATTTCAAGACCTTGATCTTGTACAAATCATTTTGCTGCGTGGTATTGGGCAGGTTTTGTTTGCTCTGACAATACTATGGAAATGGCATCATGATCATTAATTTCTTGACTGTTTGGTATTGAAATTTGACGGGACGCAGCCAATGGACATCATGGATCAGAGTTGAAAATTGATCACAGAATTTTGTGGTGCAAACACAAAAACATGAGGTGCTAAAAAGTGGGAGAATATGTTAAATATGTATGGTCAATGATGATATAACAGTCACCCTGACAGAAAAAGGCATTGGGTTTGAGTCCCATCAGGAGTTATCAGAGACAGTACAGTTAAAGTTCCCAGTTTTTTAACAATTTAAACCTATATCCAGCTTCATGTGATGTGTGCTTGGAGACAGAATTTAGACCGGGGCTCGCCGCGACCTCTCGGCTCGACACGATAACAATAAGACGTCAGTAACGAAACTATACCAGAGAAATATATGAGAAGATAACACAATATTCATTTTTTTTCATTAAAAGGAGAAAAAATGTTAACAATAAATCTGGCGCCGCGCGCCTCGCCATACAATTTGTTATATATACCTACTACATCTAAGTCTGCACTTAACTCTACTCGTAACTTAACACTATGTACATACGATCTTTATCCAAGCGATTTTTAAAAAAAAAGTCTTAGTACTTTTATCATCATATTAATATTAATTTGAAAATTTGTTAAATGTCTTTATACTTAGTTTAAATTCACGGAATCCACTCGCACCACATTTTATTATGTTGTAATTCGCCTCGTAACACAATACGACGATAAAACGTTTAAACCAGCTAAAAGAAACTACTGAAGTATCCATCTAGGGTACAACCGACAATTCGGGAGACGCGCGGCCTCTGCACGATGCGCACGATTATTCCAACATCCTATACTATATCATTCTCATAGTAAAGAAGGCAATTTTTTTATAATGCGATTCAAATAAGCATAGGAAAGCCAATGACCTCCATCTGTCAAATGACGCTTGAAAAGTACGGTTTGCAAAAAATCTTGGAACTCTTTTTTAGCACTCGGATAATTCTAGAATAAAAAAACCAAACATTTGTAAACAATCATGACGACGATGACAACTCCGGTTGTTATGCAGAGCTGAGCGGAATTGAAGAGCTAGATTCCGATTAATATTTTTAGTCACACAGTCATAAATATTATTAAAAATCGGTAGTTATTTTTTCTAGTAAATAAATTTTTATTAATAAAATCTGATGTTTTTTCTCACTTAATCTTAGTAAATAAGTTTTATCGAAGAAAAACTTTTATTGCTCACTCTACCTATTTTGTTTCAATTGACAGCTTTGACATTACAAAATGGCGCCCAGTCGATCCTATTGTTAGTTGAATCGCATTATAAGTTTCCTCAAATCACCAAATGAAATTAAATATAAAACACGCAAAAAAGCAATATCTAAGGTAGAATAAAAGTAACAGGATGAAAGTTTCAAATTCCAATTGACTTTAAGAGAGAAAACAATGACTACAATTATTATATTACTGTCAAACACTAAAACAATCCATTCTGGTATCCAAAGATCATATGAAACAAATCACACTAGAATACGCTACAATGTGACACGCGCATTTAACAAGTATAAAAAAATTGCCTCTTTACTTGAACGAAATTTCCAAAATTTCAATTTACTTTCCCACTGTGGCCGGGCAGCATCGATCCCAACCGTGCAGAGGCGACCGCGTCTCCGTAGCGTGACATTTACAAAACAAAATTAAAATGATAAAACAAACGTTAATCTATGTTGGAATCACGTGTTGGGGCGCGGATACTCGTGTCGACAGACAGACCCATTTACATTACTTTATAAAATTTATAAAACGACAAACTAAACATCTACTAAATAAACACCATCCCGTCCGGTGTCCGTCCGACACAAATAACCAGCGAGTCAGTCGCAATTCGAGATCAAAAACATGAGGTGCTAGCTAGTGCCGCCTCTAATACTGCGGGCGAATATGCCCCGCCCCCCAAACCCCGCGCCCCCGCCTGCCCGAGCTTTCATTTGCTAAATATCAATGCATCAGAAAAGAAAGACAAAAATATGATATTTCTGAGAGAAGAAGAACAAGCAGCAATCAGGATACAACAACGATAAGGAGCGAGAGAAGCTTTTGCTGTCCCTCTTTTCCCCTACAATATACCTGATCGGCTTAAGACAATTCATATAACAACCATCTAATATTGGAAACAAAGAAAAACTCGAGGCAACTACCCCTTATTTGCCTACATCGATAACTCGTCGATGCGCCGGCACTGAGCATTTTGCTCCTGCATTTCGCGTGAATCTGAAATCGTCGCCATTTCTAATCACGAATACGGTGACGATACGAAAGTTTCCGTGTAGAAATCGTCGGAATGACGCTCCCCCCCCGCTTCTAGTCAGTTTGTACTTGGGTGTTGGGGGTGGTGTTGACATTCAGCCGGGGCGTATCGCGGAGTGGAGGAGGCGGTTGTGATATGGTTAAGTTGCACGGTCGGCGCTCCTCACTTCGGTCACAGCTCGCTTTAAATCACTGCCTGCAAATAAATTCCTTATATTAATACTTCGCGCAATAACAATTCACCAGTCCCAAGCATGTCCCAAGTTAGTTTGACTTAGAATTTTTGCTAAATAAAACCGTTGTCCATATGAACTTGCTATCCGTAAAGACAGCCCCGACACGGCCAGTTTCAATGGGCAATCTCCAATAAAAGGTAAGTTTATTGTGGTTTCTTTTATTAGCAACGATTATTGTTTTAATTATCTTATTGGAGATTGATGATTGAATCTAGCAACAAAAACACACAATTAACTAAATAAAAGCGTTGTCCATATGAACTTGCTATCCGTAAACACAGCCCCAACACGGCCAGTTTCAATGGGCAATCTCCAGTAAAAGGTAAGTTTATTGTGGTTTCTTTTATTAGCAACGCTTATTGTTTTAATTATCTTACTGGAGATTGATGATTGAATCTAGCAACAATAACACAATTATCTAAAGGTTCATTTTACATTGTGGGTTACCTACAATGCTAAGAGATGGCGCTGCCTTGCAGCTTAAGAAAGGCTAGAGAAAATTCGACACGGCCTTCAGGACCGCGGTAGCATAATGGTCAGTGCATGCGCCCGGATAGCGAAGGGTGCGGGTTCGAGTCCCGTCTGCTGCCTGGTCTGTGTGGATTTTTTTCTAGTAAAATTTTCTTCAGAACCAAAAATAAATCTTATACGAGCATGAAAATCTTTTTTCATCCCACCACCTCGGAAAGTGTAATTTTGCGCTTCGAAATCTGGCTGGAAAATTCTATTTTATTCGCTTGAGCGGCAAAGTAGATTTGAATTTAGAACATCACATATAATGAGTACTCAATATAATTGTAAATTCAAAACGTCATTAAACCTATTTAATGTAACCTCTATGGTGCCAAATTTATGATTAGAACTTTTTAAATTGTGAAAAAATTTAAATTTGGAACCTTCTTGGTTTCTTTGTTTTATTTGCGTGCTTCGCGCCATTCTAGTTTTTCACGTTTTATTGCTTAAATATTTTGTCATTATAAATTGTTTTCTTTTTCATTTTGTCATTTCCTCGCTGAGGTGGGATGAAAAGTTACGTATTGCACTCGAGTGGAAAGATTTTTCACCTTGTGCTCGTTTGTTTCCCTCGCTGACGCTCAGGATTCTAATTTAGAATCACTCGCTGCGCTCGTGATTCAACTTTAGAATCCTTCGCTTGCTCGGTCATCCAAATCGAGCACGCGGTTAAAAAGGAACTTTCCACTCTTGTATAATAAATAACTATTATTCCGTCGCATAGTAGTCCTTAGTAGTCCCACCCCATCCATAGTTATGGAATGTCAGCTGAGACCACATCTAAGCTACGCATGTGCAGTTGAGTAATTTCGAAATGTGTATAGAGTTCGCCATTTCTTTGCTAGTCCAACGCAACTTGTCGCTCTCTACAGAAAAGCTTAGCATGCGATAGACAGAATAAATTTCTGTTTTGATGTAGCCTTTTTCCAGGAAGCATTAAAAGGTAGTTTAAATAAGAAACTATTTAGTAGGTAGGTAGGTAGGAATTTTTTTGAATAGCTTCAGTCAGAAGGCTCAATTGATTTTATTGCCGCAGACATTTTTTGTACATTATGTATTCTGTGCCATAGATAGCATTGACAGCCTTAACTAAAGTAATAACTTTGCTGGTTACAGCTAAACACCTAAAGAAATCGAAGCATTTACAAGATACGTCGTTTGTAGATTAATTTCAAAAACCTAGGATTGATCATTCGTAATCATCATTTCTAAGTACCTATCTATATACACAATATAATAACGTAGTCTAGATTTTTAAATCCGTTGGTCTATTTGTAAATGCTTACGCATACAATTGCAACAACACATGGTACAACTTACATGAGTGGTCGGAAATTATCTACCGGAGAACGTATTGCATTTACAGGATTATCTCTTTTCCAATAATCGGGATTAAAGTTCTACTTTCACGAAAGTATTTTCTTTAGTAATTATTATTCTAAGTAGAGCACGCTCAATCCATTCATTATCACTTGCTCAATCATAGTTCTAGCCTCTCATATTAGAGGGAGCTAAGCGGGGATTTAGGATTTTGCTTGAGCGCGGCATAACATAAGGTAGGTAATATTGCATCTTGTGAAGTACTCCCACCGGTACGGTGAGAGTACTATCGGTTTAAGAGGCGTTGATATTAGTTCAACTGTAGTTTTGGTCCCGAGCTACAAACGTGTGAATGAGGTAATACAAAAACTGATTTTCTGTACTTGTTTTACCCTTGTTTGGCGACTGCGGTAAGATCAGTGTGTGTGCGGTAATCAAGAACACGGACACATCGCGCGCCACGTCCGTACGTCAGTACTCACGAGAGCGCGTCATCACCAGCAGAACACGGACACACCGCGCGCCACGTCCGTAGGTCAGTACTCACGAGAGCGCGTCATCACCAGCAGAACACGGACACACCGCGCGCCACGTCCGTAGGTCAGTACTCACGAGAGCGCGTCATCACCAGCAGAACACGGACACACCGCGCGCCACGTCCGTACGTCAGTACTCACGAGAGCGCGTCATCACCAGCAGAACACGGACACACCGCGCGCCACGTCCGTACGTCAGTACTCACGAGAGCGCGTCATCACCAGCAGAACACGGACACACCGCGCGCCACGTCCGCACGTCAGTACTCACGAGAGCGCGTCATCACCAGCAGAACACGGACACACCGCGCGCCACGTCCGCACGTCAGTACTCACGAGAGCGCGTCATCACCAGCAGAACACGGACACACCGCGCGCCACGTCCGCACGTCAGTACTCACGAGAGCGCGTCATCACCGGCAGAACACGGACACACCGCGCGCCACGTCCGTACGTCAGTACTCACGAGAGCGCGTCATCACCAGCAGAACACGGACACACCGCGCGCCACGTCCGCACGTCAGTACTCACGAGAGCGCGTCATCACCAGCAGAACACGGACACACCGCGCGCCACGTCCGTACGTCAGTACTCACGAGAGCGCGTCATCACCAGCAGAACACGGACACACCGCGCGCCACGTCCGTACGTCAGTACTCACGAGAGCGCGTCATCACCAGCAGAACACGGACACACCGCGCGCCACGTCCGCACGTCAGTACTCACGAGAGCGCGTCATCACCAGCAGAACACGGACACACCGCGCGCCACGTCCGTACGTCAGTACTCACGAGAGCGCGTCATCACCAGCAGAACACGGACACACCGCGCGCCACGTCCGTACGTCAGTACTCACGAGAGCGCGTCATCACCAGCAGAACACGGACACACCGCGCGCCACGTCCGCACGTCAGTACTCACGAGAGCGCGTCATCACCAGCAGAACACGGACACACCGCGCGCCACGTCCGTACGTCAGTACTCACGAGAGCGCGTCATCACCAGCAGAACACGGACACACCGCGCGCCACGTCCGCACGTCAGTACTCACGAGAGCGCGTCATCACCAGCAGAACACGGACACACCGCGCGCCACGTCCGTACGTCAGTACTCACGAGAGCGCGTCATCACCAGCAGAACACGGACACACCGCGCGCCACGTCCGTACGTCAGTACTCACGAGAGCGCGTCATCACCAGCAGAACACGGACACACCGCGCGCCACGTCCGTACGTCAGTACTCACGAGAGCGCGTCATCACCAGCAGAACACGGACAGCTCGCCGCCCGCGCCGCCCACCGCGCGCCACGATCGCACGCCGCCGCCCACCACCTTCAGCTGAAACCACAATCATCCAGTGATTAAATGCTACATTTACATTCAACTTCTGCGATCAATCCTTATAGATTGATCTCAGATTCTTTAAATCGCAGGGTGACTACAGTGTGCGGCATAATGACTATCGCAAATGACTAGATAAGATATTATTTCGTCTAGATCTTTATTTGACTAGATTGCATAATAACTCTTGATCTTCCTATTCTTACAAGTATGTGTCACCTTATTTTCATTCATACTCCCTCCACAACATCCTAGCATTTTCTTTTGCGGTCTTCCTATTCATTCCCATACCTTAATATCCATTTAGACTGCTTTTATTCCGGCTTTTCATATGTGCTTATCTTATACTATGTGAAAGAATTTCATTAATCGTCTCTAATACAGTATCTCTTATCTATTAGACAAGTCCGTCCGTCCGTTCGTCCGTGGTGCTGTTTCAGCTGCCAAACCGTAAGAGATAGATAAAGAGAATGTTTAAGTTATAAGTTGAGAATAGTCTGATAAGACTACAAACCGGATGTGAGTAACGTAGCACTTCCGGTTTTCGAGAAATCACGTGATTTCTATTTCAAACGAAACCATACAAAATCTCCGAAGTTCTCAATTAATTAAATACATTTTTTTTTTGTGAACATTTGGTTCACTGGTTTGCTAGTCTTATTATAACTAATTAAAGAAAGTGAAGCACTAACGCGTTCAATTAAATCTTAAAAGCAGACCCCTCTTTCCCAGTGGGGGCAAGTGCCCAGGGCCCCGCGATCGATAGGGGCCCCCCTCAGATCAAATACAAAGTCCCTAGTTCCTGTCAGATCACCAAACGATAACCAATATTTATTACGAAAAAAATTACATGATTCGATGAAATCGAACTCAAATTACTGACTACAATACCAACTTACCAGCTTTTACATAAGCGAAGCTATTCTACTCTCGCTGAAAAATTAGGCTTTCCGACTTCAGCATGCTTAGATAACTTTAAATATACATATAATGGTATACTAAGCACATACACATTTTAAAGAAAAATCATCAGTAGTACACTCATCAGTATAACTCGCTCCATTTCAAGTCATAATCCACATCAAAGTCATAGGGGCCCCATTATCCTAAAATGCCCAGGGCCTCCAATAAGTTAAGGACGGCCCTAGTTAAAAGAAAATTGTTTTTATGTGGCGATTGTGGTGACGAGTATTCGATAGAAGTGTAACCATTGATATCGGAGGCCACGTCAATATTCAGCAAAGATGGACGGATAGTATGGATAAGGATTAAGGCAAAACTGATTCATAACAGTGAGAGAAGGAAGGAAGAAGAGAATAGCACAGAAAACCAAACAGAAAAAAGCCAAGGTAGTAGGCGGAAAGAGATGTAATAAGCCTCATCTTATGAGGTTATGAATGCTGGAGAAAGACTCGGTCGAATATAATTATCAGTACCAATAGTACCTAGCTTTGTTAAAATATAATACTTTTAATAAAAATGAACACACCACTTCAGATAAGATAAAATATGTGTGCACATAATAACATTTTGCATAGATTAGATTAATGCACGATATACCTATTGTAGTTAAAGTGAAAGCCTGTATTATTCTTCGGAAAAAGCTAAGATAGGTGAGTTAAACAGCCGAAAATAACTCCGAAACTCAACCTCTTACGATTCGGTGATCGCTCTCCGTATTAAAACGAATTGATTACCGAGACATCATTGAATATCCACGTCTTAATCGAAATGATGAAGTCAATCTCATTTTTTGTTACACCATTTACAACTACACCTTGGACACTCCACTGGGGCTTTACATTATAGTGAACATTTACGCAGGTACCTTCTATATAATAATATATACATTTATATAAAAGTCGGAAGATTCATAATTAATATATTAGTATAAATGCTGGAAGAGCTGGACGAAGTTGCGGAAAACAGGAGAGTTCTGGGAGCGATATATCGGGTAAGACAGGCTCCACTGAGGCTGCACACTATACGGAATATTATCTCACAATACTAATTTTTGGTCAAGCATCCAATGACCGACCACGAAACTTGCTTAACTTGAACGGTCGCAGCCGAACGTGCTAACCATTTGCGCCATCGAGCTCCTTACTTATAAGTGGTTTTATCGTTAAAAAATTCATCGTCGTCTATTCAAATTCGTCTTTATGTAAACAATTAATGTTTTGTTTTTTGTGGACTTTCCCACGTCCATTCTCGATGCAGGCGCTTATTGGAGTAGGAGTTCATCATATAAAGTCACCCCCCCTCTCCATATAATTGGCTAGCATTTAGCAAATTACCACACTTAACTCATCACCGCCACGTTTGCCTAGCCTTGCGTGAAAGTCTCACATGACCACGGCGTAGTGAGTCTTAGAAGTATGTATTGCCCGAGAGATATTGCTTCCGCTTCTTCGTCGGGGTGTGTCGAGGTCACGGCGTTTACCTGTATGACCTTCAGCGCATACCATTTGGTGATTCTGAGTAAAAGGTACACCACCCTATGCGACACTCTTCCGATCTGTACAGCGACTTGAGATATTGGGTTTATTGTACATAAACCCGTCACCATCTCGGGACATAAGTCCCTCCTCTATTCCCGGAAGGACGAAGATTACTTCGCCCTTCCGGAAATAGAGCAGGTTGCCTGAAGGATCATCGTGTTCTCACCTTGACGAGAGGGTGAGGACTTCAGATAATCCTCCTACAATCCAACTTATCCAACTCAATTCCTCCACCAGTCCCAGTAGCTTCTTCCTGTTGCAAGATTATAGACAGGTCTTACTTTTGCCTGCCTATAATCTTGCAAACAGTACGGTATAATTTCTGTAGGTTCACGAGTTTTGGAAATTTTTCATAGAGTAAGGAACTGTTACCCAGTAAATTTCAGATCTCGTTATTTAGATTTAGGACTTGCTTATGAACTTCTAATCTATCATACCATTATGAATTCATCCAAATTGAAGAATAGAAATCCTCAAACGCGGACTTTTCTTGTTACTGCCGCTCTAAGTTATCTAACTGCAGTCTGTTTTTATTACATATTTGATATCCTACTAGCTAACCAACAACACGTGTCACAGTTATGGCACCCGCTGATAAAATATCGATACATCACCTCTTTATTAGAGGTCTAATGAGCGCCTCGCAGCCAAAGTCTAACGATATCGCGAACGTATAAAGAGTTACGATCCATAAAATACGACACGCATCAATCCACAATATTTAGCTTTAGCTACACATCTAACTAGGGTTAAGCGGTACGGTACCGGCACATCATTCCTGCCTCTACTCGCAACGCATTTACACACAGATCACGGCGCGCAAAAACTACGAATGCATCGAGTTTTCATTCCACGTCTCGCCTTATACGGGCCACGGCGCGACTGCCGGTCTGCGCGCGCAAGGAATGTCGCCCATTGATGTGTGCTCGCTTCGCTGAATGACACTCGAGCTCCGAGTCTGCCGCCATTCAAGAGACTGTTCGATAATATTAATTGCTTTCTTCATAACAAACGCTCGTTGCGCTGCACTCGCCGATCATCTCGATACAGGAATAGTATAAAAACCATAGACGGAACTACCATATAGGTGTCCGTGGGCGGTCGACGACCCACCGATGTGCGATAAGAATGTCGTGGCTTGCATTTGATAACAGTTTATCAGTAGGAAGGTGAAATAACCTCGAAATCTTCGCCAGGATAATGCAACAAATGCTTTTGTAACATCACAAACATGATCGTGTATCATATTTTATGGCGTAATTGTACTCGTATAGGTATGTAGCTGATTAAATGCTATCTTTTAGGACATGACTGATGTTTGATGCATTGTTATTGAATACATACCCATAATGTATATTATATTAGTATTTTGCCTAAGACAGCGTTTATTAGATCAAGACACGCGCGTCAATTTATTTAGTGTATTTTTGGTACCGAATAAGTCGGGTGCATTCATTAAACATTGACATTTTAACATACGCGTAAAAACATTCCCATCATTTAACATTAATTTTAGTATATTTCATAAAGAACAAAATTGTGGACGTTATAATAACTATTTTAATACCTATATTGGAAGTTCCTCTTTTACATCAAACATTCACCTTTATCTAGTGCAAGATTATAATTGAGACATCTACATAAAACTAAATTTAAGCGTACTTAAAGAGGACGCCATCCTGAAAAACGGACCCGATGTTTATTTGTTCCTGAATTCTGATAAGTTAAACCGCATTTAAGAAGTAAGCATCCGATTTATGAAAAGAATAGTTTCCTATGTTCGAAATCTCAATCGGATACTAAATTGGGAGAAATCACATTTTAGGATGCTGTCTCGACAGATAATTTTTGAAGTCATCTGGTTCTAGGACCCTCATGATGTTCATGCTTGCTAGCTTTTGACGCAATATTAAATAATCTTTCACCCATCACGTTCTTTCTCTGTTATTAATTTGTATGGAACAAAACGTTAGGGCTTTTTTGGGTTTTTGATAATATTGGATCATTTCTTCACACTTCTTTTCACTCGACATGTCAGTCACATGTAGGGTTGCCATATCTCAGGATTTGTCCTGAAATCTACGGAATTTTAGACTCTTCTCAGGATTGTGTCCGGATTTTGCCAATCTAAGGAAATCTCAGGATTTTTAGAATGTTCAATAACATACAGTTCCTTTTAAGGTACTACGCAACATCAACAGCCGTATCTTTTTTTTTACATTAATAATAATAATAATATTTTTTTTTATTTTCTCATACCACAATCTAAATAAAACTTACATGAAGCAATGGTACAATGTTGCAGACTGTGGTGGGCTGATACCTGAACTAGGAAAAATCCTGTATCCCAGGTTATCAACCCTCCACCCCAAACAATGGTCAGAAAACTTACAAATTGTATGCACTTAGTGAGACACTTTATAAATAATCATGATGGGAAGTTTTGACACACACTATTCATATAAAGAAGTTAAATTCTAAATAAATAATACATTTAGGACATTTTATAGTTTAAGATTGCAATGCCAATACAGGATTATTTATCAACTTTTAATATTTTTTCTGTCGCAAGATAATCAAAAGATTTTAATTTTTCTTTTAGAGTTGTCTTTAAACCAGCTTTATTCATTTCAATTATACGGGATATATCATCAAAGTACCTATAGAGAAACGGCCCAGTATAGTACATCTGACGTCGAGCAAATATTGAATTATAATTTGGGACTTTCGTACGATATCGCCTCTTATGTTTAGGAAGTTGGGATGGGTC